TGGTTCTCATCCTTGACTTTCTTAATATAGTGTATTATATTTATTGATTTATGTATGTTGAACCATCCTTGCATCCCTGGAATAAATCTGACTCGATCAGGATGTATGATCTTCTCGATGATCCTCTGTATTCTGTTTGCTAGTATCTTATTGAGGATTTTTGCATCTATATTCATTAAGGAGATTGGCCCTTAGGTCTCTTTTTTAGTTACATCTTTCCCAGGTTTGGGAATCAAAGTGATATTTGCTTCCAGGAATGAATTTGGAAGTATTGCTTCTCTTTCAATTTCATTGAAAAGTCTGAAGATTAATGGTAGTAGATCTTCTCTAAATGTCTTATAAAATTCAGCAGTGAATCCATCAGGGCCCGGGCTATTCTTTGTTGGTAAGTTTTTAATTACATTTTCAATTTCACTGATTGTGATTGGGGTTTTTAAAATGTTTTTATCTTCTTTGCTCAACTTTGATAATTCATAAGTATCTAGAAATCTGTCCATTTCATCTGTGTTTTCCATTTTATTACAGCACAGGTTCTCATAGTGTAAATTAATGGTCCTCTGGATTTCTGTGGGATCTGTTGTGACTTCGCCTTTTTCATTCCTGATTGCATGGATCTGAGCCTTTTCTTTCCTTTCTTTTGATAAGGTTTGCTAAGGGTTTATCAATTTTATTTATTCTTTCAAAAAACCAACTCTTTGATTCATTTATTTTTTGTATCATTTTCTTAGTTTCCATTGCATTGATTTCTGCTCTAATCTTTATAATTTCCTCTCTTGTTCGAGCTTTGGGTTTTTCTTGCTCTTGTTTTTCTAGAAGTCTAAGAGTCATCGTTAGGTTGTTTATTTGAGCTTGCTCTGTTTTCCTAATGTGGGCATTCAGTGCTATAAATTTTCCATGTAGAACTGCTTTCATTGTGTCCCATAGATTCTTGTATGTTGTATTGGTATTTTTGTTTATTTGTAAAAACCATCTTATTTCTTCTTTAATTTTCTCTGTGACCCATTGATTGTTCAGGAGAGTGTTGTTCAATTTCCATGTGTTTGTGAAGTTCCTATGGTTTCTTATGCTATTGATCGCCAGCTTTATTGCACTCTGATCTGATGATATACAGGGAATAACTTCAATTCTTTTGCATTTATTCAAACCTGTTTCGTGAGCTAGTATATGATCTATCTTGAAGACCCATGAGCAGCTGAAATGAATGTATATTCTGATTTTGTGGGGTGGAACACCCTATAGACTTCTAATAAGTCCCTACATTCAAAAGCTTGGTTCAGTTTTACTATTTCATTGTTGATTTTTTGCCTAGATAATCTGTCTATTTTTGATAGTGGGGTATTCAGAGCCCCCACTACAAATGTATTAGTGGTTATTTGGTTTTTCATGTTACTTAATATTTTTATATAGTTGGGAGCATTTATATTTGGTGCATATATGTTTATGATTGTCATTTCTTCCTCTTGGATTGTTCCCTTTACAAGGATGTAGTGGCCTTCTTTGTCTCTCTTAATCAGTTTTGGTTTGAAGTGTGCTTTGTCTGTGAATAAGATTGCTACCCCTGCTTTTTTCTGGGCTCCTGTCACATGGAGAATTGTTTTCCATCCTTTCACTTTCAGTCTATTGGCTTCTTTTTGCACTAGGTGTGTTTCTTGTATACAACATATTGTTGGATTTTGCTTCTTAATCCATTCTGCCAATCTATTTCTCTTGATTGGTGAATTGAGGCCGTTGACATTGATAGTTATAACTGATATGTACTGACTTATTATTGTCATGTTATTGTCCTTTTGTTGACTCGTCTTTAAGTTTTTGTCCTCTCCTTTTAGTTTCTTGCCTTGCCTATTTGATTTGCTCTGTTGGGCCTCCTGGTGTTGTGATCTTCATTGTCTTTTCCTAGGATATTGTTTAAAATTCTTTGTAGTGCCGGGTTAGTATTCATGAAGTTTCTCAAGTGTTCTTTCTTTGTCATGGAAGTATCTTATATCTCCGTCCATTTTGAAAGAGAGTTTTGCAGGATACATTAGTCTTGGTTGTAGGTTGTTTTCTTTTAGGACTTGAAATACCTCACTCCAAGCTCTCCTTGACCTGTGGGTTTGCATTGAAAAGTCTGCTGTGATTCTGATGGGCTTTCCTTTTCATGTGTTTTGTTTCTTTTCTCTCACTGCTTGTAGTATTTTGTTCTTCTGTTGGGTTTCTTGGATCTTGATTATTACATGTCTAGGTGCAGATATTTTTTGATCATGGCTAGTTGGTGTCCTATATGCCTCGCTTATCTGTATGTCTAATTCTTCCCCTCTGTTTGGGAAGTTTTCTGTCATTAATTCTTTGAACAGCTTTTTTAAGTCATTTGCATTTTCTTCTGGTACTTCATGGATTCCTATCAGTCTTCTGTTATTCTTATTTGCATCATCTAGGAGTTGTTGGATTGATTTCTCATGCTCCCTTACTGTTTTTAAGAGACCTCTCTTTTCATGGTCACTGTCTGCTATCCTATCTTCTATATCTGAGATTGTATCTTCTCAATCTTTTATTCTATTGTGTATGCTTTCAGTAGAGTTTTTAATCTCCTGTATCTGTTTGATTCTGTATGTCTAATTCTTCCCCTCTGTTTGGGAAGTTTTCTGTCATTAATTCTTTGAACAGCTTTTTTAAGTCATTTGCATTTTCTTCTGGTACTTCATGGATTCCTATCAGTCTTCTGTTATTCTTATTTGCATCATCTAGGAGTTGTTGGATTGATTTCTCATGCTCCCTTACTGTTTTTAAGAGACCTCTCTTTTCATGGTCACTGTCTGCTATCCTATCTTCTATATCTGAGATTGTATCTTCTCAATCTTTTATTCTATTGTGTATGCTTTCAGTAGAGTTTTTAATCTCCTGTATATCTGTTTGAATCTGTTTAATGGATTCCATTTCTTTCCTATGTTGGGCATTCATTGTTTCCATTTCTTTCTTATGCTGGGCCTTGATGGCTTCTATTATGTTCCTAAGCTCATCTATTTTTTTGTCAGTTTCTGTTCTGGAGTCTTGAATCATGTCTTTCATTTTGCTCACCATCTCTATGGTTATATGGGAAATAATTTCTGTTTTGAATTTTTCTAGAGCTTGATTGATCAGGTTTTTTTACTTCCTGTGCTGTGAGTTCTGAGTGTCCTGGAGGTTCACTATCTGATTTTTCATCCTCCTTTGCCCTACTATTTGCCATTGGTGGACTGGAAATCCATTTTCATGCCTTGCTTAAGTGTTTTCTCATCTTTATTTTTGCTGTTGGGTTGCTCTTGATTCTATCTCTGGGTCATTAAGTCTTCCTGATATCATTGTGTCCCAGTCTTTGATTCTCTAATGATTTATAGACATTCTTATTTTCATAATTGAGAAAACAACTCATCAAATCAATCCCTATCCTTTGTCCCTATCGATACAATCAGGAACATAATCACATCAATCACCACCCTTTATAGCCTCTGCAGAGTGCATCCAAGGACTGGCTCAGTCAGGGGATCTAATAGCCAGGGGTGGGGGGCAACAGTGCTCAGGGGTGCCTGCATGGCTACCCTCCTGGAGCTGTGTCAGAGCCAATCAGTGGTGCCTGCTGGAAACTTCACGGCTCCAGAGGAGGCCCATAGTATGGGCCAGACCGTGCAGCAGAGGTGGCTCTGAGTCCAAGCCAGGGCTATGACGTAAAACTTAACCAGGTACTGTTTTAAGGTCATTTTGATGGACTAATTTAACTTATAATTAAGTTTAACTAAATTTCAAACATCTAACATCTGGTCAGTGGGTGGCAGAAATGAAACTTAGCCTACGAGGCTCTCATCTTCTGGCTCTTAGCAGCTACACTTTTATTTATAGATCCCACAGCACACCAATCACAAGACAGTAGTTCCAGCATGACTCAAGAGGAGATTGTTGTTGTTAATAATAGAATATTAGAGTTTGGAAGCCACCTGATTCACTTTGCAACTATGGGAACTGAGGAACTCAAAAGTTAAAGGCACTTGTACACCATTTCTTACTAAGGTGAATATTAGACCCTCATTTTTCTGTATATCATAGTCGTGGTAACAATTTAAAGATATAGTATTATACATTTCCAACCTTCAGAAAAGGAAAATAGTTCAAAATACACTTCTAAGACAATTTTGAAAGTTATCAAAATTTTTTTTTCTGACTAAAATAATCATTGAAGATCGTGAATGCCTTATTTCCATTTGGTAACTTATTTCTTCTAAATAACTAAAACACAGTATTTCAGGACTGAGCAAGATGTTCCCAGGACCTTGGTTATGTGGAACAAATATCCCTGAACTTCTGCCGAATGCAGAAAAGTAGAAACAGTGTTTTAGGATTCATGAGCATGAACACAAGTTGAAATGTAATTAAACCATGTTACAAAACAAAAGTTTCAGTCTAGACAGGATTTTAAAAAAGTCATAGTATTTTGTTTTCTGCTTTCTAATAGTGACATGTAATTTTTTCATTTTGAATGAGTACTTCTTGGAAACCATTATGTTGATTCTACTTTTCTTTTCATATACATAAAAGCAGCTTTACAACTGTACTGAATACAAACAAACTTTATTGCACATAGAAAATACTTCACATGGAGTATTGCATGGGACAAGGTGGGTGGGACAGACACAGACCTGTTGTCAGGTAAGACTGGTATTATTGCAGAGCCGATCAATATAGAAGTCATCTTGATAGAGATTTCTCATACCACATATTGCACATTTTCCAATCCTTATCTGCTCTATAAATATTCTTCCTAGTCTCTGCTTTTGTCCCTTCTTTGAAAAACATTAAAGGAAGAGACTAAAGGCAAAGAAGTATGTACCCCTGAAAAAGACCTGTCAGCAATTAAGGAAGTTAAAAAAGTAAAAGGTCAACACTATTCTTTTTGGGAAAAAAATGACAAAGTTACATGGTAAATTTCTGCAAATAGAGGAAATAGTACAAAACTTAGTTCCACAGCATTTGTTCACTTTTGAACGCTTTCTGAAATATAAGGATTTCCTTTAAAATGAGTGTCTGTGTTACCAGTCAATTTCCATTTATCTACATTCACTTTTTACTACCACTATTTAACTCCTTCACATAGTGCAAATGCTTGATATACACTCGTTTTGTGGTAGTCATTCAATAATAAATAATAACTTTAAACCTAGTTATTTTATTATGTATTTAAAAAATATAAAGTGCACCCAAAAGACTTCATAGTCGTTCTTGGACATGGTTATCCATTAATTTGTGATATTTTCAGCTCATGGCAGAAAGAAATCACAAAGCAGATCTTCCTGGAATTTCTCTCCTTTCGGTCCCACAGTTCGGTCTGGAAGACAAGTTTCCAAAGGAATACAAAACTTGCTCATCAAGTCTTGACAGAGAGGTCTGACTGCAGGGCAGCATCCGTGGAAAGGGCTTCCCTGAAGCTTGGTGGACTAAGGAAATGCTTCCCCGTCATCGGGAGGGTCTGCTGCAGACCCAGTGCAAACTCTGCCCACATTCTGCACTGCTCACCTCCCTGCTGTTCAGAAATGCGCAACTCTCAGTCCCTGTGAGGTTGAACCTGGCAGACAATAAAGTCAGAATCATTTCCTGCTCATCACTTCCAATCAGGTCCATGAGTGTACAATTCGTATTGACATCTCCTTTGCTTAAGTCAGCCACTAAAATAGTCAGCATCTAATGTGTAGGGAAAGTGGATACGAAGTGACAGGAATATTTGGAAAAATTATGCAGAATTAAGAGCAAAGAGTTCTGTTCACTCGGTTGGCATTTCACCAAGGAGATGACCCTTGGTCACTTCTGAGTTCACAGATTTTTCAAGAAATGCTTTGGAAATGTCATGCATTCAGCAACCACACATACTTGAGCATAGTTTCAGGGGTTTTACAGCCCCTGCAGTCCACCTGCTGATTATGGGCCCATTTGAAACTTATTAAGAATACCTTTATTAGAGAGCTCAGCTTAAATCTTGATACTGTATCAGTATTTGTTATAACATTATTAAGAGAGTGAAAAATGTATTCAACTTTGGGTTTTCAGCTCAATGCAAAGCTTATAAAAAGTCCTTCAAAATTTAAAATGTGATTTAAGCACAGGTAATGAAAATAGAATTAGATCTCTAATTCTGGGCTATGTTTTCCTTAGGTTCATAGAAACTCACAATAAGGAACTGAAAATATTGTTCATTATCCTCTGATCAGACGAAAGTTGAGGGAGAAAAAAAGGAAATCCTTTTCCAAGAATGGGCTCATCAGTCATCTTCATAACTATTCTGGGAGTACGTTGAAGCCAAATCTATTACAACTACTGCTGAGAAAAAGGATACCATAGGAATTTTTTGTATGATAGAGAAAATAGTATACTAAAACGTGTCTTTAAAGAATTATAAGCAGTATAAGCAAAAGAAATTGCGAGATCTGTGCTCATGATGAGGTCACTTGGCCTTCACGTTGAACAGAGCTTTGAAGGAAGTAAAAGGGAAAGAAGAAGTAAAAATGAAACAAGAAAAGAAGGATGGTTTTCCTGCAGAGCCAGCCTGAGAAAGATGACAAGAATCCCCGACACTCACCAGTGATTAAATTCTTCACCATTTGTCCATTTCCAAGTCTGACCTGTTCCATTTTTCAGCCCAATCCAGTGTTCAGCTCCACCCACATGTCGTTTTAGAAAGATCTGAAAGCACAAATAAAGTTTCACATGAAACAGCTGGCCGAGCAAGCATTTAATAAAGTTGTTTCTCAAAAGTTGCAATCTGGGGCATGAAGACTGAGCTGGTCACTTATTACATCTGTGTGAGGTCAGTGTTTTGAGATTTCCAGCCTTGGATGCCAAGCAATTGCATCCCATTTAAAAGACTATATTGAAGTATTTCATCTTTACCTTAGACTTATCATATAGCTGTGGCTAAATTTTTCTGTGTATGAGATAGGTACACTTCTTTCACTTAAAAATGAATAAATTAGAAACCATAGATTAACTATATAAAATGAAATTATGAATTTGTTTTGTATCTTACCATGTCCTTTTCAGAATCAATGACAGCAAGAGTAGCACCATTTTCAGAGCAAGAGTTTTTAGCTGAGGTCCAGCTCTTTGTTGTGGTGGAAAAGAAGTAGCACTTCCTGTGGTACAGAACCCATGCATCTGGGCACGGAGACACATGGCTGGCTGATGGCAGGGAGAACTCATTCTGGCCTGGACAGTTGTATTTGCCCACTGTGAACAGGAAAGTGGTTTGCTTAGTAGCAGAAGAAGTCAGATACACTCAGCTTGTAAACTTGATCTAGAGAAGCTATGCTGGGAGAGGTGAGGAAGGATGCAGTCCAAAGAAGACCATTCTGAGGACAGTGAGGGAAAGCAGATGACCAACTACCTGATTTTTCCCTGTGCCTAATCATGACTGGATGGGCTCTTAGCATGAGAGGCATCTTTATCCTAATGTCAAAAGCAGGCAATAAAATGGAAAAAAAAAAGGCCCTTGGACTAGAAAAGGTAATGTGCATTGTAAATTCCAAGTAAAATTTTCAATCTAATTGCAGAGGCATAGAATTTGAAGATAGAGTAGTTATAAAACTAGACTGAGAGAAGATAGAGTAGGTATAAAACTAGACTGAGAGAGTAAGCAGATAAATAATTCAAATTATCAGATAACCAATTCAAAGAAAAAAAGCAACAGCTGGGGATGTTTCATAAAGTTGTAAAATTTCCTATTTGCAAAAGAAGCACATTTATGTTGGTGCCCATGTTGATATGAGGTTTTTACCATTATTTCACTGCTCACGCTTAGGGAGATTTTAGTTTCTGGCTATAGACTTAATAATCTAAACCACCATTCTGTGGCTCTGCAATTAAAGATAAAAGAATAGTTATTTTATTTGGATTAATTTATGGCTTAGCTATTATTTTTTGTCCTTGTGGCGAATGGAGGGTAAGTGTATTTTTCTAGCTAAATATCTCTTCATTTAAATTCCAAATTAACCCAGTTCCTCCTAGATGTAAATATCTTCTCTAATTTTCTCTTACAGTAATGTATAAATCTTAAACACTTAAAAGTATCACAGTAATCATTCAAGGAACACAGAACTATAGTTAGTCTTCTTCAAGAACTTGGCTATGTATTGTATATGACATAATTAAGATTAAAATTCCCGATTAACTGGACCAGGCTAATACCTACTGATTTCACCTGGGCATGAAGGCTTACAGCTAGGAGGCGTTGAGAGAAGATGTAGGGAGTGAAGACTCACCTGATAAGGCGATGAGAGCAATGATTAACATGGTAATGAAGACCACAATGAGGACAGCACATGGGATAGGAACTTGAAGAGACCCTTCGTGCTGTGTTTCAAAATGGAGACTGGCAGCATTATCTGAAAAGGAGACGGTGATGAGTTTGGGAAGTCTTTTAGGACTGAGCGTTCGGCATTATTATGAGTCATTTAAATTTTCAAAAAGTAATGTGTTTTTCCATGTCCTCTTGAATGTTATACAAACGTGAAATAGGATGATTCAAGTGCAGACAAAGAAGCTACAGCAATAACAATGAGAACAGTGACTGCATTTCTGTGTGTGAGAGAGGTTAATTCAAAAGGAACAGGACACCGTGGAGCTTCCTAAACTGAAGGGAATAATCAAGTGTTCACACAACTGTGGTTACACAATGATGGTAACTTGTAACATTGTATACCTATTGTTTGTATGTTCCTGTGTATAAAATATATTCCAATTAAAAATTACACATAAATGTGAAATATTTGAATTTTCCAAGTGTTGTCATAATAGTGGAGAAAAAAGCACCATTATAGAAGAGATATTGAGTAGAAGATAATTTTTTATTTATGCTTCTGTATAATGATAAAACAATACCAAAACTATCTTTAACCAATGAGAAATATTTCTATGGAAGGATTTGGAAGAGGTAGACATCTACTGGTAAATGAATAAAAGTAAATAACTGGAAAAAAAAAGAGTAAAGAATTTTGTGGCTCAGATTTGGACCCTGCTGTTGAAGAATGAGATATCAAGATTTTACAAAAGGCGGGGAGGGGACCACCCTAAGCATATCCTAGTGTGTTCACAAATTCCCTATTACGATTACTAATTGTGTTCTTAAAAACTGAAATATAAAATGGGTACTTGCTTGACATTATAACTGACAAAGAAAAAGTCTCTAAATATAAAAACATCCTGTTTTTCAATGTGGATCATTTCACAACTAAAAAGGTGTTTTTACAAGATATTGCTTGAAATGTATGTATTTTTTCCACTCAAAACATTTCTCTAAAGGTGAATTTCACGAAGGAATGTTGCTTTCTTTGGAGTAATTTATCATGCAGCTACTATCAACATCAACTTTTGCCTCTTCTAAGGGTTCTTTTCCCCTTCACATATCTGCTTCCAGATTTTGCAAGTGAAGTCTTTCGTTTACTCCTGTCCAGCCCTACTTCTCTCCACTTCTCAAAGCAAATCTTCCTTTTTTCATCCATAGACAACTTTCATAAGAAGCAGTCTTTGGCAGGTCAGGTAGCAAGTTCAGAGATCTGTTTAGTTTCACTTCTCACCACATGAGAGGCAATCATGCTGCTTGGACTTAATGCTGTTAATATCTCTGGCTGCTCAGCAAGCACTCAAGGATCCAAGTAACTATCAGATCTCAGAGCTAGCACCACCCATTGGTCCACCCAAGATGTAAGATATGGAGGCGACTCTCATGTGACACTTTATTTACATTAGTGAGTGCTACTGTTAACCATTTTGTCTTGTCACCTAGGTGACAAAACATTCCTCCCACTGCACACTTCTGCTGTGATGATAGGTCCTCTCTGTTAATGGAGAAACTGAAAATAGATTCACCTATTTGTTACTGATTGAGTCACCCAAGGATGATACCCAATGATTCTTCATCCTACCAAAACAGGTACATGGAATAATAAATATCCAATAGAAAATTGTGATGACCATGGGTAACATTAAGAATTTCTACATCAGGCCAGGGATTTAGTTCAGTGGCAATGCCTGGCTCAGAAGCACAAGGTCCTGAGTTTGATACACAGTACAAAAAAAGGTTTTTTTTTTCTACATCATGTTCTCTCAATCATGCTCTCTATACACTCAATAAATTTAGCATTTTCTTTTCTTCAGCAGCTTAATGGAGCCATAAAGTTGTGGCTCTCCCAGTTGCCTAGAAATTTACATGACTTGTACTTTTTATTCACATTTTATTTATGCTCTTAAACAAAAGTTGGGTTGATCAAAGGTCAAAAAAAGTTGGGTTGATCAAAAGTTGGGTTGATCAAAGGATACTTTCTACATTAAAACCAAGCTAATAGATAAATGATCAAAAACCAGTTTCTCCCTCTGGAGTTTGTTTTGGCTCTGCTGTTTCTAATGGACCTCTTTGTTAACTGGGTAGTCCTTTCTTACAAGTAAACTCTTAATTTCTAAGTGCTAGTACTTTGGGAGATCTTATTCATTAGGGTGAAAGAGAGATAAAATAAAAAAAAACAAGAAAGCTTATAGAAACAAGATAGAAAAATAAACAAAGAAAAATTTTGGTAATAGAAATAGAGTAGATATATAGATACAGCAAATAGAAAAGAGGAGCATTTATAAGATGATCACACTTGGATGAAAAACAAAAGAAGAAAAATAACCAGCTATGTAGAATTTGAAGCCAGTGACTAGAAGAGTAAAGTAGAAAGAAGAAAAAAGATTTCCATAAAAAGCCATTAAAATAGAAGATTGCATTTTTGAGAACTTCAAAAAAAAAATTCACCAAGTAAATTACCACCGGCCACTGTAAATTTTCAGGTATTTTTACAATGGTTTCTGAAAGTCTGAAATCTTGCCCATTTCCAGCAACTGGGGGATTCTGCCCCAACAACACGGGACGAGGCACATGGAAGGCAGACAAAACTACAAAATGCGATTGCTTAAATGGACAACAGAATTTCCCACAGAAAGAGGAAACATTTCCCAGAGTGTGCAGCGGTGGATGTAGATTTATAAGGGGGTAGATGGGCTAGGGCAGGGAGTTTTGCTATTAAATCTAAAAGTTGGATGATAATTTGATTCAAAGAAAAATATCTTTAAAGATTTTCTGAAATTCACCCTTGTAATATCCTCGCATCACAAGTATTTATGGTCCCACGGATGAAGAAATTCTGTGTTTACCTATTCCCAGTTACTCTTTTATGTGGACTGAAATAGAATCTAACCAAGTTCCCTGAAACGCTAGTTCTCTAACAGCATTATATGTAACAAAGAGCTATCATGAGGGTATAAGAAATCAAGATTTGACTTACTCTTTTTCCCTTTCTCCTGATGCAAAGAACTGCTCTCCGTTACAGGACAGTCTTCAGAATCCATCTCTACTGTTAAGACTGCCTGGTGAATTTCAAGGCGAAACAGCCTGTAGTCTTCTTTGGAGCTCTTGCTCAGTCTCTGGGTTCTCTGAGGCATCTCAACGTTTATATCCGGCCGGCTGTCTCCGCCCCTTCCTTTTTACCTCCTGTGTGCCCTGCTCTGCCAGTTCTCTTTAATTCATGCACCAGAGACCCAGACAGTGGATAGTGTGTTGTTGTGGTGAGGTGCGGGGTTTCCCGGCCACCTGAAATGTGCTTTCTCACAACTGTAGTGCATCGTGAAGACAAGAGGGGGATTTTCCCAGACTCAGAAACATCCTTCCTGAAGCTTTTAGAAAACAAGAGTAATTCAGGAGATAGTATAATCTAAGTAATGAATTAAAGGTTAGAGATCCCTATGTTTGATATGTGAATAATTTAGAGGCAAAAATAGCATTTTTCTAGAATCCTATTCACTGATTTATTTATATATTTAACAACTAGTATTTATTGAATAACTGTTATATACCTAACAGTGTTTTGGGTCAGAAGATTTATTGTTGAATAAGAATTGTAAAATCTCTGTCCTTATGAATCTCTCTCCAGCCTGGAGGTGTTTTAATTAGGAAGATATAAATAAATTGGCCTTCAGAAGAATGCCATTCACCTCTTCCCTGGGGACAAGTTCTTTTAAGGTAGCATTTTCACAAGTAGTTGTTTCAATGCAGGAAATAGAAAGCTTGCGGTCTGGAACTTCCTTGCCATGTGCTAAAATTGTTTATCTTAAATTATCTCTCTCAGTCTCTCCTGCTACTTTCCTTGCCATGTTTTGCAGTCGTTTAGATGGCGTTGCTTCCACCTCAGTAACCTCTTATTCTAAATGTCAACCAGGCTGTAGGTTATTCTGTTTGGTTATGTTTGAAACGTGTATAAAAAAGCATATTGCCACCCTGTCAATCTCATCTAAATAAAAGAAAATCAGCACAGAATATCTATCCAACATTTTATTAGTAATATTTATTTTAGAACAAAATGTTTCTGCCTTCAGCACGAGGCCTTAGTGAGACTGTTATGCTCAGGTGTGTTGGAAATTGCCATCTAGAGAAGTGTGTTGGGTGATCAGGTATATTTGTCTACCCGAGACTCAGACGTACATGGTGGAAGAAAAGTTATCTCTGTTTCCACTATATCTTCATAAAACCTGCTCTCAATAACAGCTGGAAGAAAGTTTTTAAGTAAGCCATACCATTTTGGTGAGATAGCCAACTTGTATTCCTTTCAGCCTGGAAAGCTTCTTGTTACCAAAGGTACCATAAAATCCAAAGACCTTGTAGTTAGAAGAAGGATTTACACATTGAATAGCTCCTCACTAGCCCCACTCCCAATTTTCCCTATTTATTAATCACTGCCCTTTCCAACTGTAACTTCTTGGTGTGGCATAAAAATATCAAGCATGTTACCACTAATGAGTCTTTACTTTTTCCGTGAAAGGTTCTCTCTACTTCCACTCATCTATCTTGTTTCCCCTTCAGTCTTCATTCAAGGGCCACCTACCCAGAGAATTCTTCTCTTGCCATCATACATGAAATGGGACCCTACACTTTATGCTCCTACATATTTTTCTTTATATTAGTGTTAATAATTGATGTTGCATCATTGTTTTTCATAACTTTCCATAGTAGACTGTAAGCTGATTGATGGAAAAGATATTGCTGATTTATCCCTTCTGGATCTTTAACACCTCTTCTTTTTTAAAAAATTTAATTTATTAGTACATTCTAGGTAGACAGTACAGTTACATTCATTACTGGGATCTTGTACCTTTACATGCTTTAACACCTTTTCATAGTAACTGGAAACTAGTAGATTTTCAGTGCAAAAATTATTGAATGACTGAATGAATATGAATTAATGACAATATATTTATAAAGATATAAAAGATAAATGTATTTACCAAGATATAAAAATATGGAACACTATACAGGAGTGTTTGTAGGATTGTATCATTCAGAACTAAATGGCTTTAGATTTCCGCTGGACAGCAAGGATATATATAAATTCCATGGATAACAATGGAGGAGTTAAATCCAATATTTAGAGAGATATCAATGCTTATCACTAATATTTTCTGTCAATTTCATGGGTTAAAGCAATTTATACCTGTAAAAAGTTTTTTGTTTTGTCTTGTAGAACTGGATGTCAGGGTTAACATCTACAGTGTCACTAATCTCACACATTCTAGTCTGAAGAATGAGTGACACAATATCACTGTTAAAATATGCAACATTACTTAAAACTTTTCCTTGTTAGTGTCATACAAAGGAAGATAAAAGAAAATATCCTTTCATACAGTGATCAGCTTCCCATGTCTTTTGCACATGCAAAAAAGACACCAAAAGCTTGGGCCCACAGGTCCCAGCTAAAGGCCTCCCTGGAAAATAGCTACAGAGGAGCATAAACAATAGCCAGAGGGCAGCCCAGATACCATAGATAAGAGCATGCAGACCCCAGCCAGAAGCCTCCTCAGACACCAGTGACTCAGGTGTACAGCCCCTAGCCAAAGGAGCTCTCAGACAACAGCTATGCAGGGGTGCACGCCCCACATAGAGGCACAACCAGACACCATTCCAAGTGTGCACAGGCCCCATCCAGAGCAATGTCCAGACAACAGAGGAGTTCAAGGATTCAGAAAGCCACCGTTCTGAACCAAGGAATCAGTGCAGTGGTAAGAAACAAAGAAAAGGCCTTTCAGTGGCTTGCTGAGAACTGAAGACCAGTGGGCAAGTAGAAAGTTGCTTCAACAAAGGCTCAGCAGGCTGCATCTGTTGAAATGAAAAGACGTGTAAACAAATCTTGAAACCAGACTTCCAGATCACCTAAGGCAACCCAAAGGGGCAATGAGATGGAACAATCTGATACTCAACCACCTGGAATTCCTGAACTGGCAATGAAAGAGGATCTGGAAAAAATAAAATCAGAAATAATTTCTCAGATAAAAACAGAAATTGTGCAAGACAAGATTAATAACTCTAGAGCAGACAGAGATAAAAGAAATAGGGGAGGTGAGGAAAATTATGGAATTCCAACAAGGAAACAAATGGAATCCATAAAACAGATGCAAACAGATTTCCAGGAGATTAAAAACTCTATTGAAAGTTAATGCAGCAGAACGAGCCAATGTAAGGACAGAATTTCAGATTTAGAAGACAGGATTGCAATTAGTGTTCAAGAAGAGAAAAATTTCTTAAAAACAGTAAGGGACCATGAGAAATTAATCCAGCAGCTGCTACATGATGCAAAAAAGAATAATATAAGACTGATCTGAGTCAATGTAGAAATAGGAGAGAGTGCAAACAACATTTAAAAAACTGCTCACAGAAGAAATGGCAGAAAACTTCCCAGGGAGCGGGGGAGAACCTGACATACAGATAAGTGAGGCATATAGGACTCCAACCAGCAATGATTAAAAAAAAACTACATCTAGGCATATAATAGTTAAGATTCCAGAAACCCAACAGAAGAGCAAAATTCTACAAGCAGGTAGAGAAAAGAAACAAATCACATACAAAGGAAAGATAGTCAGAATCACAACAGACTGCTCAACACAAACCCTCAAGTCAAGAAGAGCATGGAGTGAAGTATTTGAAATCCTAAATGAAAACAACCTTGACCCAGGTTGATGTACCCTGCAAAACTATCTTTCAAACTTGATGGAGAAATAAGATACATTCATGACAAAGAGCACCAGAGGAACTTGTGGAATACCAAACTGGCACTCCAAAAAATTTTAAGTATCCTAGGAAGAGATGATGAGGATCACAATCCCAGGAAGCACAGCAGAATGAATCCATCAAGCACTGCAAGAAATTAAATGTAAAGGGGAGAATCCAACAAAAAGAAAAAGTCATGACAAGGATAAGTTAATACATATCAGTTATAATCATCAGTGTTGATGGTCTCAATTCACTAATCAAAGGAAATGGACTGGTGGAATGGGTCAAGAAACAAGATCCAATGATATGCTGCATATAAGAAACACACTTAATTAAAAAAGAAACTCATAGACTGAAAGTTAAAGGGTGGAAAACAATATTCCATGCAAAAGGGACCTGAAAAACAGTAGGAGTAGCTATCCTCTTTGCAGATCAAATGGATTTCAAACCAACACTACTTAAACAAAGAAGGACACTACATCCTTGTAAAGGAAAAAAACCCAAGAGGAAGAGGTGACAAACATAAATATATATGTACCAAATACTAGTGCACCCAACTATATAAAGCAAATACTAACAAACATGAAAAATCAAATAAGCACTAATATAATACCCCACTATCACAAATACATCCACTAGACAAAAAATAAACAATGAAATACTAGGACTCAAACTATTGAGCAAATCGACTTAACAGATGTTTACAGGGTGTTCCACTCACAAAATCAGAATACACGTTCTTTTTTTCATTATTTAGAGAATACTTTATTAGTTTCTGTAATCAAACCCACGTAGATATGACCTTACATATTTAATACAGTTCATTACCCCTGTACAAATGGAAAAAAAATAAAAACAAAAATTAACATTTCTAGACCAATATGGCTGTCCATTTCTGTACAATGCCAACTCAATACAGTAAATTGGGATAACTTTTTCCAAAGTTGACAGCACTGTTAAAGTTTCCCAAAATTCAAATTATATATATATGTGTATATATATATATATATACATATTTATATTTATATAAAAAGACCAATAATAGCAGTATGTTACGCATCAATAGCAGCAACAGCTTTTCCAGGTTCTGCAGTCATCTGAACAAAATTATAGACATTCAGCACATTCCATTAAAAAAACAAAAAAAAAAACAACAAAGAAAAGAATAACATCCAGGAAACAGCAAAGTTCTGTTGCTGTTGTGGTACCTGGCACCATTTTTTAAATTAGCATCTTAATCATCATGTGGAAAGAGAACATTCTAGAGTAATATCATTAAATATAGCTCTGATAAAGCACAGTCACTACTATGTATCATAAAGCAGGTACAAGATATTTTACATTCACAGAGGTATGA